ATGTCCTGGCCTTCTGGCTTACCAAACTCACATTCTGGCTCAACAGCCTGGGTATCTGGCTCAAAACTCTGAAATTCCAGCTCAACACTCTGAACTCCTGTCAAATCACCCTCAGTTTCCGGCAAATCACCTTGAGCTTCTGGAAAATAATCCTGGGCTTCTGGCAGAATATCCTGAAGGTCCTGAAGAGGTAACTGCTTTTGTTCTTCCTCTTCTATCATAACAAATAATGGATTTTTGAATTTTACTTTCTAAAAGTGAACATAAACACCAAATATAAAATGTCAGGTAGTAGCAATACTCAAGGTTTTTTGCAAGATTCCTAAAATAATCTTAAAATAATATGGCAGTCCAACAAATTACTAGAATAAAATGTGAAATTATAGCCTTTGCCTAACTTAACAAAACCTAAATCTACAATGCTAAACCAGTAAAACAGTACTGGCAATCCCCAGTCCAAATCTCAATTAGTTTACTTTCTCTTATTGCTTTACCTGAACTCTGCTGAAAGGCTTGTCCTTGTCTTCAGAAAGAATACCCTGCTGGTTGCTCCCAAACAAATCTTCTCTCCCTTTCTCATCTGTTATAATAGATGAAGATTCCTCACAGGCAGGTTCCTAAAGAAAAAACAAAAATTAAAAAAAAAACCCACAAGATTTAGCTATTACAGGTAGAAACAATGTGATTGCAATAAAATCCTAGGCTTCAAGATACTGCTAATATACTTTTAGTAGGTCAGCAGAGTCAAACATTATAAAATGTTTACACTGCAGGACTGTACACTGAAGACCATAAAGCATTGTTGAAAAAAATTAAAGATGATCTAAATAAATGGAAAGACATCCCATGTTCATGGATCAAGAGAAAATATTGTTAAGATGGCAATATTTCCCAAATTGATCTATAGATTCAGAATACCTATCAAAATGACACTGTTTTTTTAGGGGAGGGGGCAGAAATTAATAAGCTAATCATAAAATTCATATGGAAATGCAAGGGACCCATAAGAACAAAACATTCTTCAAGACAAAGTTGGAAGTTTCATTCTTCCCAATTTCAAAACCTATCGCAAAGCTATAGTAATCAAGACAGTGTGATACTGGCACAAGAGCAGACATATAGATCAATGGAATATAATTGAAGAGTTCAGAAATAAACCCTCACATTTATAGTCAATTGATTTTCAACAAGGGTACCAAAACAATTCAATGAGGAAAGAATAGTCTTTTCAACAAATGATGTTAGGAATAACTGCATATCCACATTCAAAAGAATGAAGATGAACCACTTCTTCACAGCATACATAAAAATTAACTCAAAATAGATCACAGACCTAAAAGTAAGTGCTAAAACTATAAAATTCTTAGAAGAACATATAGGAGTAAATCTTCATGATCTTGTGTTAAAAATGTTTAGTAGATATTACATCAAAAATACAAGCAACAAAAGAAAAAAAATTGGACTATACCAAAATTAAAAATTTTGTGCTGTCTAGGCGTGGTGGCTCATGCTTGTATTCCTAGCACTCTGGGAGGCTGAGGCGGGAGGATCATTTGAGCTCAGAGTTCAAGACCAGCCTGAGCAAGAGTGAGACCCAATCTCTACTAAAAAAAATAGAAAGAAATTAGCTGGACAACTAAAAATATATAGAAAAAATTAGCCGGGCATAGTGGTGCATGCCAGTAGTCCCAGCTACT